AAGGCAGTTTTAAACTGCGCTTTAGTTATATTCAAGTCACTGTTCGTTTTTTGTTGGTGGTGGAGTTAGTTTTGTTAGTCATACGAACTTGCTGGTATCCTTCTGATTTTCACCAAGACGTTAGTTGTGTAAAAGCCAGGAAACCTGGGTTATGGTTACAGTTGGCTATCAACCAGAAGTGCTTGTTAAACCAACTCTAAACGGTGTGACGTGTTCTGTCAAGGTCATTATGGTGACTCAAAAGTCCTCATTTTTCCTATTGTTGTGAAGTGTGTGTGGAATATCGAAAATCTGCAGATATAGGGTGTGTAGGCATATTGAGGACCATTTAAATCTGGTATGATGTCCGTGATATAAAGGTCAAATCAAGGTCATTCGAATGAATAATTTTGTATAATTTTATAACTAATACCGTTATAGTACCGTTGTGTGCTGCAACCTTTGTTTGTACGCATTTTACCTCGGGCTGATAGTTTCAGATATAACATTTGGATGACCTTGATTTGACCTTTATGTCATGACATTAGGTCAGGTAACAAACGCCGCATGACGGCAGTTTTTCGATATTCCACACTTGCTTCACAATAATTAAAACTTTTGAACACCCAGCTGTGGTCGAGGGCAGTTGTTAATTATGGAATGTACTTAAAGCCTGTTTTCACAAACCTGTACTTGAGACTCCAGCTTCATCTCCTCCAAAAAGATTTTCGTAATATTAAAACACCAGGTAGTATATTGATATTGTACAAACGGAAAACACAGTGGAGCTAATAACACCATAATACAGCGGAAGTTTTGATTGTACTTCAATTATATTTTTCTTTAATTGTTTATTAGATGTGGGGTTTCTGGTATCTTTTATAACATGTTTTTCTATATTAACCAATAATTAGTCTGCATCATTGGATAAGATAACGGACCATATTTTCTCTAGTGTTGAAATGCTGAATATAATTATACGACTCGCTTTTATCAATAGAATTAAAGAATTCACTTTCATATGATTTTAGATTTGGTAAAAATTTCTCGTCAAAGAAGTATACATAAATTATATTAATAGTAAATCCATGAATTACTGGTTTAGAAACTCCGTTACGTATTTAAAATCCCATAAACCAATTAAACACTGGTGTTGAATATTCTAGCCAGGATAGTTTTTGTTGTTGTTTTGTTAGTTTTGGTTTATTTGAATATCTTTTTTTTTCTCCGCATGAAACTTTTTCATATTTTAATTTTACTGAAAAGTTTTGCGAACTTTTAAAAAAAATCGAGAGAAAAGTATAAAATATTAAGTGAATTTAAATAATGTTTAAACAATATTCGATCAAAATTTCGTGTGAAATACATGGTTACGCATAAAATGATATTTCTAAGTCATTTTTGTTTGGGGTGTCATTACCCTTGCAAGAACAGGTAAAAGTAATTCTGTTGGGACGGATGGCCCGTCACGGCCAGGTTCGAATCCCCGTCCAACCAAACATGCTCGCCTTTTCAGCCGTGGGGGCGTTATAATGTGACATCAATCCCACTATTCGTTGGTAAAAGAGTAGCCCAAGAGTTGGCGGTGAGTGGTGATGACTAGCTGCCTTCCTTCTAGTCTTTCACTGCTAAATTAGGGACGGCTAGCACAGATAGCCCTCGTGTAGCTTTGCGCGAAATTCATAACAAACAAATAATCTCTACCTGTTAAACTCGGTGGGTCGTGTTCGTCCCCATTTTTAAAATA